TCACCTGAGGTCAGGAGTTCAAGACAAGGCTGGCCAACATAGTGAAACCCTGACTCTACTAAAAATACAGAAATTAGCGGGGAGTGGTGGCACTCACCTGTACTCCCTGCTACTCAGGAGGCTGAGGTGTGGTGGCACATGCCTCTAATCCTAGCTACTCAGGAGGCTGAGGCAGGAGAATCACCTGAACCCGAGAGGCAGAGGTTGCAGTGAGCTGAGATCATGCCACTGCATTCCAGACTGGGCATAGAGCAAGACTCTATATAAAAAAAAAAGTGTGTGTGTGTGTGTATACATATATGTACACATATATATGTATATATATGTGTATATATATAAAAAATATATAAATTAGCTGGGCATTTTGGTGGAGACCTGTAATTCCAGCTACTTGGGAGGCTGAAGCAGGAGAATGGCGTGAACCCGGGAGGCGGAGCTTGGAGTGAGCCGAGATGGCACCACTGCACTCCAGCCTGGGCGACTGAGCAAGATTCCATCTCAAAAAAAATAAATAAATAAATAAATAAATAAAAATTAATAATAATAATAATAGCCAGGCAAAGTGGCTCATGCCTGTAATCCCAGCACTTTGGGAGGCCAAGGTGGGTGAATTACCTGAGGTAGGGAGTTCGAGACCAGCCTGACCAACATGAAGAAACCCCGTCTCTACCAAAAATGCAAAATTAGCTGGGCGTGGTGGCACATGCCTGTAATCCTAGCTACTCAGGAGGCTGAGGCAGGAGAATCCCTTGAACCCAGGAGACGGAGGTTGTGGTGAGCCAAAATCAAGCCATTGCACTCTAGCCTGGGCAACAAGAGCTAAACTCTGTCTCAAAATAATAATAATAATAATAATAAATATGTAAATATAATTTAAAGAAATTAATGGACATTTTCAAGGTTTTATAGGTTTATCGCTAATCAAAACTTTAGTTTATAATTTTTGCATTTGACCTAAAATGAGTTTGGAAGTTATAGTGGTCACATTGGTTGATATGATGCCATCCCTGTCCTTATGACAATAAACATGAATAAGCTTAATAGCTGTTTCTATGTTCCACTGGTGGCAAATTGGACCTCCACTGCCTTGGCTTCCCAAAGTGCTAGGATTACAGGTGTGAGCCACCACACTCGGCTAATTTTTATGTTTTTTGCAGAGGCAGGGTTTCGCCATGTTGGCCAGGCTGGTCTCCAACTCCTGACCTCATGTGATCTGCCTGCCTTGGCCTCCCAAAGTGCTGGGATTACAGGTGTGAGGCTCTGCGCCCGACCGTTTATTATATTAAAAAAAATTTTTCCTAGCCAACCAATGCATGCAAGATGTCAGTATATATCCTCTGCTGTGCACTGTTTCAGGCACTGGAATACAAAAATGGGTAAAAAAGAGATAAAATCCCTGTCTTTAAGGAGCTCATATTTTAATGAGCAGTGTCCTTTTTCTTTCTGTTTTGTTTTTGTTTTTGTTTTTGTTTTTGAGACAGAGTCTTGCTCTGTCGCCCAGGCTGGGGTGCAGTGGCGCAATCTCTGCTCACTGCAACCTCCGCCTCCAGGTTCAAGCGATTCTCCTGCCTCAGTCTCCCGAATAGCTGGGATTACAGGTGCCTGCCACCACGCCAGGCTATCTTTTCAGGTGTTTATAATATAGTTTTCATATACAGTTACAGGAATAGTATGTTACAGAACCTAAAGGAAAAAAAAGAAGTATTAGTTGAGTTTAGAAGTGGGTTTATACTGTATGTACTAGGAATTGCCTGTTGAATTAACATTTCAGAAGTAACTATTTAAATCTGTATTGTTGACATTGCAGTGAAAGCAGCGAAACTTGTCAGCAGATGATTAAGTTTTATGGTTGATTTTCACACTTTTGTAGCTTGGGACCAATATCAAGTTTCTGGGAAGAACATCCTTCCTCTCTCCCCACCCTCTGTCATTAACCCCGGGTTTCTGCCTGTTGTGTTAAGTGTGTCCTTGGGATAAAGGCGAATCATAATCGTTCGGTTTTCATTTTCCTCTTATTAATCTGAGAAGAGTTACTTCAGTTTTTTTCTTCCGGAGTCTAGAAAGCGCTTTGTTGAATTATTACATATTCTGCATGGAAAAGTCTGTACGTCACTTGTTATTTTTTCAATTCCCAAGACCACCAGTTAGTGGAATTATTTCTGGGTGAGTGGAACACCCTTTACAAGCTGCTAGAGGAGGTATGCCTGTCCCTAGGTTATTGGCTTTCCATTGCCTAGTCTTTTATAGAAAGTGGCACTGTTCCCACGGAAATAAACAATCATTCAATTTGGAGAGACTCGAAATCTTAAGGCCGAAGTGAGAAAAAAATTGGATTGTTATGGGTTAGGTTACTATTTGAGAAGGGCAAGCGGGAGTTAGCGAATGGATAGGCTGTTAAAATGGGACTTTATTAAATGACTCATTACAACTGCACAAAAACTAAACCTTTGCTGGCCCCAGAGGATTTTTTTTTTTAAAGTTTCAAAAACCTAACTTCAAACAAAATTTAGGAAACGTGGGATTAGTATAAGTTCAGTCTGGGTGCTTACAAGACCACCTCCTCTGTCACCGAAAGTGGACACAGGTGTGAGAATTTTGCAACAGCAGCTTTCAGAACAATTTTTCGGCGCTCAATGGTGCCCCAAGAACTTCGGGGGTGGAAAACACGCCAAGCAGCGAAGACTTCCCCTCGGTTGCTAACCTTTCCCTTTCCCACCTCGCCACTCCCTCTCCGTCGCGGCCGCCAGCCGGGGGGCGTTTGTTTATGTGACGTCCGGCGTAGTAAGCAGTCCCCGCCCCCGTTTCCCTCTGGCCGCCGCGTTTCCCGCGCCGCGGAGCTTCTCCCCTTAAAAGGACAATAGAGGCCTCGGGAGCGCGCGCGGTCGCCGGGACTTCTCCCCCTCCCAGCCCGCGACGTGCGCGCGCCCGTATGCAAATAAGTTCGATTCAAGAGAATTTTGTGCCGGGAGCCGCGCGTGCGCAGAGGGAAAGCGGAATCTACACCTTCTCGGCCAGCGGTAGCAACTGCAGAACTGCAGGAGACAATCTTTCTAGACAAGGCAGTTGAGGAGGAGGGAGCGCTTGAGGGGGACTGGCCTGGCGTGCACTCCGCACCTCGGGGACGTTATTGCGCGTGGAACGGCTGCTTTTGGAAGGTGAGTGACTCCCACCATGCCTCTAGTGCAAAACTGTCTCATGAGGCTTTGATTTCAGAGTGTTTTTTTTCTCTCTCTTTTCACCTCCACCCACCTCCCCCCGTCCTTCCACATACACACAGGAAGTTTTGTCTTGGAGGTGGCATTGTTGGGAGCGCTGTTTTCGTGATCTTCAGACCCCAGGTTCTTTGGTACGCGCTTGTTTAGTGTGTATTTATTAATTGGGGAGGGTATTTGAGGCAAACCGAAAGTCTCGGGGCGGGGGAAGTGAGTGGAGCCTAGGCATAATTGAGGAGTCGCCGGAGTTGAGGGATCCACGTTGAAGGTGACAATGACTTTTCTCCGCCGCAGTATTCTCTCGCGGAAAGGAGCCCGGCGGCCGAAAGGCCCGAGAGGAAAGCGACTGGCTGGCCACCGCGCAGCGGCCGGGGTCGGTGCGTCCGCGTGGGCGCGAGGCGCGGGCAGGGTCGGGCGCCGTTGTGAAACCTCGTGGTTTAGTTGACTGCAGCCCCCGGGCTAGGGTGGACAATAAACGCCATTCGCTCGGAAACTAAGTTGCCGTCCGCTTCCAAGCTGGCGGCCGAGGGTCTTTAAATCGGCCTTTGGGGGTCAGTGCTGGGCTCTGCCGGAGCGCACGCGGCGTGGCGTTGTTTGCTCAACTCCGGAGGGATGCGGATGCGACAATGAGAGCAACACGCGGTCGCTTAAAAACAGCCCGTCTTCCACTCTCCTGCCCTCTTGGGACCGCGCCCAAGAGCGTCTGGTGTCCGGGGTGCCTTCGGAGCCCGAAGTTTTGCTCCCCGTGCGTTCACCTGTAGCGTAGGTGTGGGCGCCACGGCGAGGGCTTCCCGTTTGTGGGCGGCCGTCCGCGCTGTAAGATGGCCAGGGAAGCCAACTTGGCTGGGGACGGAGGCGGCGGCGTTGTCTACGCCGCAGGAGTCAGTGAACTCCGCGGGGCACTGCTTTTTGTGCTCTACGTGAGAGACCACGTGCTTCGGGCTGCGACCCTGGTCCTTGTCCGAATGTCCAGCCCCGCGTGAGCCGTGGGATGCGGCCGCCGTCAGGCAGGTCCGGCCGGCAGGACAATGTGGTTTGCTGATGATGGCGTCTTGCCAGTTTAAAAAGCAGAGTGAAAGTCGCCAACTCTCCGCCCGTGCGGGGCGGGTACTCCGGGCGTTTCTCATCAAGGACACTGCAAAACTTTGATTAAATGGGCCCGCTCCCGAGGGTAGGGCCGGGGGACCAGGCTCCGGACTCTTCGGGGCGCGGGGTCCGGACCCCTACCCGGGGTGATCGTCCAGTGTCCGGCCCCTGCGAAACGCTCCGACATCTCTGATGCTGCACGTAGGCAGCGCCCGGCTGGACAGAAAACAAAGGGCTGCATGTGCCCGTGCGGGCCCCCGGCGCTCGGGGCGGCCGCCTGGGCGGAGGGACGTGCCGGTCGGAGGCCCTCGAAGTTCGGGCGAGTTTCGGGAGGGGCTTTTGTCCCTCAGCCCCCTCGTGGGGAAACTTTGGCGGCGCTACTTGTGCGAGGTGCCATGCTGGTGCGTAGGGAGGCGGCGTGCTTCCCCGCTCCGGGCGTGCGGGCGGGCGAGGGAGGCGGCAGTGCCCGGCGCTCCAGCCCTGGCACGGGGGCTGCGACGGCCGAGGGGTCCGGAGAGCGTGGCCCGGACTCCTCGGCCGGTTCCTCGTGGCCGGGGAGCCTGTGTCTGGGAGGTCTGTGGGTTCGCCTTTGAAGTCGAACTGTTGCCATGTTTGAATTACGTCAGGGCAAAGCCATGAGGAGGAACAAGCCCCGGCAGCGCGGCGTGCGGGAGGCGCGGCCTGCGGGAGGCGCCGGGTCGGGCGGGCGCGGGGCCCGTTGTTCCGGCGCAGGTGAGGGAGGTGGCGGCGAGCGACGCGGTTCACCTCCCGCTGCCCTCGCCCTCGCTCTCGCCCTGGCGAGCGGCCCCCGCAGGAACTTTCCTCCCGACGCGAGATGTCTTATTTACCAACAAATCCACCAGGGAGCATTCTTATTTGCTGGCTCGGCGTCTCTCTCGGCGGTCACCGGAGTGCCCGAGGGGGAGGCGCGATTTACGGAAGGTGGGGACCCGAGGGCCCTGGGAGGAGCGGGGAGGCATTTTACTGCTTTCGGGGAAACGGGCGAGGGCGGCTAGCACCTCCTCTCCAGCCGAACTGTGGCCCGCAAGTCCAGGGGACCCAGCCCCGACGACGCCCGATAAACCACCGTGGGGAAGTTCCGGGGCTCCCAGTTGCCTACTAAGGGAAGTGAGGACTGTGGGCGAATTGTGCGTGCGGCCAGTTTCTTTGTGTGTTTCTAGGGGGTGGGGGGGAGCGGGGAGGGGCAAGGTTTGTTTTGGTGTGGGGGGAGTTGGTTTATGGAGGTGGTAGGGCGGTGCAGTTTGTTCTGGTAACTATGACCCTAGTCAGTTTCTTTGTTTTTATTTTCTTCCTGTAACCTTCCATTACTTCAGGCACTCGGAAGATTAGGAATTACTGTTGAGTTAAACAGGGACCCTATCCGAGACAGTTTTACCCCAGCAATCCTTTCTCCCCCTCCTTATGTTGTCCTAAGGAGGGTTAAGAAAAGCTTTTCTTTTTCTTTTAATAATTTAAAAATGAATTTGACCTTGTTATTGAGCATACACTGAAAGCACCTGTTTTTGAACTGGAATTTGCCAGACTTGAAAAGCCTTTTAATATTTTATGTCGCAAAATTGAACACATTTAGTTGCCCAATCTAAATTAAAGGCTGGGAGTTTCTGGTGGAGTTCCGGAGAAAACCCTCATGGCATTTAAAGTATTTATGTAATGATTTTGGGAAGGGGGATCTTTTTTAGCCGAAAGGTATGCGTGACTCAGTGTTTGGTGGTTATTCACTGCCTTATCTTAGGATGACCTTGAAGAAGCAAATGTTTAGGGAGTTGGGCCTTTTGGAAACATTGTAAGGAGGCTGGGGAGCTGGCTGCGGAGGAAGCTGCTCAGGAAGATGTCACAGGGTAACGGCTAGCTTCTTCCCAGTTCCCGTGAACTGGGGTTGACCTTCTGGTTACCCCTCCTAGATTTTTCTTTCAAGCTAACCTTTTTTTTTTTTTTTGTATGTGGCCCCAGGCATAGCTCAGAAATTATGCTGGTTTGACACATGGATGCTTCTTTGGTATTTGGGTTTTGCCTGTAGTCTAGACATCCGATATGCACCATCGTATCTGTTGCTTCTTTCCTGATTTCTGCTGCATTTGAATCATGTTTAAGGCTTAGAATCTAAGTGATCATTACTAGGAAATAATACCCTTAAATGCCCTGCCCCCACACACCAAAAAATCGATACTAGTTGGAATTCATTTTTTTCTTTTCATTATTTTGTTACTAATAAACCTATTTTTCCCAAGTTTTGGTTGACCAAATTACAATACCAAAAGGCAACCAATATTAGTACATTTCTGTAGTAAATAGAAAGAGCATGTCAAGAAAATGAAAAACTTTGGATTTAATAACTTTGACTTTCCTTTGGCAGCTATTTCCCTGGGTCGTTATTTAAAATGCATATGACGTGCTTTGCAAATACGCTGAGATTATTTGAGTTGTTTTTCTTAATTAGTATTTCATAGCTAAGTTATGGCTAGAATTTCCATTTCCTAGCAGATTTCATATACTACATACAGAGCTTAATGGTTTTTGTTTTACTAATTAGATGATGTAAAACAGAGATTTGGATTATCAATGTGAATGAATTCAGGGTGGGAAAGATCCACAGACAAGGTCTCTCTACTGCCTTCTCTTTGTATTGCTTTTGTGAGAGGTTGGAAATACGAAGTTCAATTGGTAGAATATTCTAGATCACTGGTGGACAGCAGGCCCCAAGTCTGTCTGTCCTTGCACAGTATTCTTAATGCTGTATATCTGGAACCTGAATGATCAATTTCCCCCCCCCCCCACAGTGGTTATCAAGTCCTGGGAAATCTTGACTCATAGGGCTCAAACTCAGACATATTTGTGTAAGAGAAGCAATTTAAGAACCATTTGACATGTAAAATAAAAGTTTTTCACTGGGAAAAGTGTAAACTTATTTTAAATCTAAACCAACTACACAGGGCTCTTATGAGGATAAATTAATCAATTTACCATGCCAGGCACATAGTAGGTTGCTTTAAAAGTATGTCGTTTTCGTTTTTTCTTAAGAGATGGTAGGAATATAATTGGCTGAGCAGAAAAGGAACACAAGGATTGAGGCACAAAGTTTTGCTGTTCAGAGGTTTCTGAGTTAGTAATGCTTGGGTTTCAAAGCTGTCATCATCTTATAGTCACTTTGTGATCTAGTTTTTTTCATCTGTAAAATGGTAGTAATATGTATTGTAAATAAGTTGTAAATAATTAAGCAAGTGACATGAGTGATAAATACTAGCTGCTGTTGTCCTCACGACACTGGGAAATAGACATTCTATATAAAGTAAAACGGAGGCCTGGGTCAGTTGTTGTTTCTGGGGAAACATTAAGTAAATTTTTAGTGGAAAGAATGAGTGTCTTTGGTCTCTTCCCTTACCTTATGAAAGCAGTTCTGGGAAGACCCTGCCCTTGACTCTTGGTTGTCTTTTCAATTCTGATTCAACCATTTTACATCAGAAAGTCCTGTGGAAACCTGGAAAATGTCATTTTTCTTTCTTCCTGATTTCTCTTGTCCACACTTAGTTTTGATTTTGGGGTGTTACAAATTGAGACTTTTTTTGTTGTCTTTTGTTTCTCCAGTTTTTTAATTGAATCTGCAACTAGGATTTTTCTGTATTATGGAAATAATCTGGAAATGCATCTAGTCCAAAAAGGGAGTTTGTTTTCAAGGTAGGGAGGTTTTCTCTTTGCCACAGAAATACTAATGTCACAGGCACATTGCTGTTACATATTCAAGTATGAAAGTCACAGTTGAACTAAAATAATTTATTTCTAGTTTTGTATTTAGTTGTTTTCCACCTATTACAAGTTTGGTTTGGCTTAATGTTGTTTTAATTTGGTTAATGTTAACTGTGCTGAGTTGAAGTAGCTCTCATTTGTCATTTCTCCCCACACTAGTCTAATTTCCTTCCCCCGGTCCTGCTTGAAATAAGCAAGAAACATTTTTTCCTATAGCTTTTAAAACCTCAAGCTTTTTTTCCTACAAAAGTCTATAGACCAAATGTTAAAGAAAAATGACTCCTTTTTAAAAACATTAAAAATATTTCTATAATCAGTAGCGCAAACAATGACTCCTTTCAAAACATTAGTTTGTAAAATTCACGTCTTTATTGTAGACACCATTTCCCATTCCATGCCCTTAATATACTGTCTATATGGCTGCCCAACTCTTTGAGTAGTTAGCAAATTCTACCTGTTTCCGTATACTATGTACAACCTGGTTGTAATACAAGAGTTAGTTTCTGCTCTGCAGCGGTTTATTATTGAGTAGAGGAGATAATGCAGTAAACAAGAAGTGAAATCTTACGTGGTAGGTGTCCTAATAAAAGTATGGCAGGGTTTTGTAAAAGAAGTAATTCTTAAGAGAATTTCCCAGGTCAAGGGGATGGAGGGTAAGCTGTCTCAGACAGAAATAATAGCCTGAGTAGAGGGTGGCTAGTTATTAAAGTTGGTTTGACACTCTTAGAATATCAGAATTCCAAGTTAGGAGCAGCTGGTAGGCAGGAGCAGATCCTGAAAAGCTTTGAATTCCTTGCCAAGGAGTTTAGATACTATCATGAGGCCAGCGTTGCTACCTTGGAAGGGAAGATTAATAGTTGAATTTTAGGAAGATATCACATGTTTAAAGGATGTAGGGAAGTCAGTTACAAGGTTCTGACAGGAGTTCATGCACCATGATGAGGAATAAACAGGCAGTGGGGATGGAAGTGAAAGAAGAAACAATCTCTAAGGACTTCACAATAAATTTGATGGAGGGCCATGCAGAGGGTGAAGGAAGAGCTCAGTTGGCTTCCAAGTTGTTTTTGTGTGACTGTGGATGATAACCAAGATAGGTAAACAGAGGAAGAGCAGATTTGGAGGAAGATTGTATAATCAATTCTCAGGGTATTTAAAGGTTGGAATGGATTGGTGATCAGTTGGCCATATTTATCCTAGAGCTAAGGGGAGAGATTGGACCAGGAAATGAATAATATTGGGTTATTACCAATAAGATTGTTAGTAACTTCCTGTGAGTGAATTGCCCAAAGACAGAATGCAAAATGATACCTGAAATGTAAGGGAGAAAAAAGAGAGAAAGAAGAAAGATTTGTGAGTAAACAGAATTGTCAGAGCTGAGTGCATACCTCGTGCCAGTCTTTGTGTTGATGCTTTACAGATACTATTCAGGAGATTTGGGATTTGTTATTATTATTATTATTTTGAGATGGAGCTTTGCTCTTGTTGCCCAAGCAAGCTGGAGTTCAATGGCACGATCTCGGCTCACTGCAACCTCTGCCTCTGGGTTCAGGCAATTCTCCTGCCTCAGCTTCCTGAGTAGCTGGGATTACAGGTGTGTGCCAACAGGCTGGGCTAATTTTTTGTATTTTTAGTAGAAACGGTGTTTCACCATGTTAGCCAGGCTGGTCTCGAACTCCTGACCAGGTGATCCACCTGCCTTGGCCTCGCTTAGTGCTGGGATTACAGGTGTGAGCCACTGTGCCCGGCCTGTCATTATTTTATAGATGAGGAAACCGAATTAGTGAGGTTAAGGAACTTTCCTGAGGTTTGGGTCAAATCAGGTGTGTATACTACCATGTATCCATTTTCTTAACATTTTTATCAAGTTTGAAAATGGGAGAACAGCTTCATAGAAGAGTATATGGGCCCATTTCATGACCTTAAAGTCTCCCTGAAAAGGCTAAGTTCCTCTTTTCCCACAGACCTGGGCTTAAAATCTTTAGTAATCAGAGTTTTATCTTCAATTAAATTTGTTGTACGTATCTTGGGATAGATAGCGTTTATTTTTCTTTAATGTGCAGCTCTTATAAATTCAAGGAAATAAACAGAATTTCCTAATATTACAGAAGGGCAAATAAAATTAGTAGTGACTTCCTAGTTAGTTGTAAAGACAGAAGCAGAAATAGACTCCAAATTGACTC